CGATGTTGGAGCCGCCGCGCCTCTCCACTCAGCTCCCAGCTCTGCTCCGGCTCGGGCACCCTCTGCCTCTTCCCTTTGCCCGGCAGGGCTGCGGACGGTGCCGCGGGTGCCAGCAGGGCCACGGCGGGAAAGCCGGGCACTGGGCTTGGCCGGGTGAAAGGATCCTCGATCCCCGCTGCCTCCCTCCCTGCCCACACTGCCCCAAAATGGGCTGCGATGGCCACACATGCCTGCGCTGCCTCTTGCCATAAATGTACTTCTAAATGCTGCCGGAGAGGAACAGTCTCCAGCCCGGGCGGCAGGAATGGATCCCCTCTCAAGGCTAGCACAGCACTGGAATTATGAAAGTCCAAATAGGATGCGTAATTCTGCCATGACCTTCCAGGTCTCTTCTGGACAAGCCTCTCAAAGTCTCAGTTTCTCATTTGATACAAAAAAGATGCTATATTCCTTCCCTGCTACTCTCCCTCTCATATTTAAATTAAGTTCCTGAAATAGGAAATGTATGTCACGATTCGTCAGGGTGATAAACACAGCTGAGGCCTGATTTGCTTGATGTGAACAAGGAAACAAGAAATTAATAGCTGAGCAGCTTGCTGCAGGGGTGTAAAGGCATTTTTGCTGTCTCCCTCATATTTTTGATTTTTTTAACTAATACAATGGATGAGGAAGTCTACCACCCTATGTATAAACTTTAATTTTTCATAGTTTTTAAAAATAGATTTTTCTTTGTCTTTATAAAGGTACTTCTTACCCTGTGTAACATTTGTCTAGGGAATTGTTTTCCCTCTGGCAGTTATGTGACTCATTTCCATTTGTTGCTTAGTTTTCTGACAACTCCTTTTTTCCACTACTCACTGCTCAGGAGGGAACTTTCGCTCTTCAGCAGAGTGACTTTTTTTTTTTTTTTTTTAAGAAGACAGGGTTGTTTGCTTCTTAGCTTTCCCTCTGTGTAAAGATCTCTCACTTTTTTGTTCTTTCTGTCTTTCTGTTCTGATATTTGGTTTCTTAATTCTAGTCTATACAGATCCTATCTGTATAGTATCCTATTGCCCTATATTTTTCTACTTCAGCTCAAAGGATTAGCATCATCTTGCTTTTGAAGGGTTCATCTTGTATTTTGAAATCCTTTCGTATAGAACTTTAACCAGTTGATAAAGTGCAGCAGCAGCTTTAATCCTACCTTGGTCATAATAATCTCTTTTTCCTATTAATCAGCTTCACTATTATCTTCTTGTCTTGTAGTCCTCCTATATATTTCCTCAATGTGTCATTAATTTTCATCTTCCATTTTTCTAGCATGTGGCTTTTCAAGTTTCTTTACCTAGCCAGAGCTTGTATCTAAGCACTGTTTTTTTTGTTTGTTTGTTTTTGTTTTAATTTTTAATACTTCAGTTCAGCCTGTAGAGACACCATACAAAACAAGTATGTTTCTGGTAAGAGCCCCTTACATTGCTGCACTTTCATTCCCATAGCCAGACATCATAAGTAATTGTAATCATTCACACTTCACACTCAGAGATAAACAGAGAGTTCATATTTGTCATGGTCATTCCTGCTGGCATACCAGTGTGATTGCCAACATGCTGGTATGATTGCCATCTTTTGGCGTCTGCTTTGGAATCTCGTATGTTTGATGTATTGGTGTGTTCCTAATTGATGAATGATTTTTTTCTGTGGAGTCAGTTATGATAAGCTCTGTTCCCTCAAAGTGTTGACACCACAGGCTGGATAGATGGAATATTTCTGATGTTGCCTTACGGGCTTTTCATCTAAACCTGTCACTCTGCCAAGGATTTCAAGTCCATCTTGTACACATTCCATGAGTATTTAATAGACTGGGTCAGATAGATAAACTGTCGAGTACTAATAATTATTTTCTTCATCTTTTGAGAGTACTGACTTCACAGAATCACAGAATGGTTGAGGTTGGAAGAGACCTCTAGAGGTCATCTAGTCCAATCCCCCTGCTCTAGCAGTGACACCTAGAGCATGGGGCACAGGGTGATGTCCAGGCAGGTTTTGAAGATCTCCAGAGAGGGAGACTCCACAACCTCTCTGCACAGCCTGCCTCAGTGCTCTGTCACCCTCACAGTAAAGAAGTTCTTCCTCATGGGCAGATGAAACTTCCTGTGTTTCAATTTGTACCCATTACCCCTTGTCCTGTGGCTGCTAACCACCCAGAAGAGTTTGGCCCCATCCTGCCTACATTCTCCCCTCAGGTATTTGTACATGTTCATAAGATCCCCTCTCAATCTTCTCTTCTCCAGGCTAAACAGGCCAAACTCCCTTAGTCTTTCCTCTCGAGATAGATGCTCCAGTCCCTTATCTTTGTTGCTCTGTGCTGGACCCTCTCTAGAAGTTCCATGTCCCTCTTGTCCTGGAGAGCCCAGAGCTGTGCCCAGTACTCTAGGTGAGGCCTCACCAGAGCTGAGGAGAGAGGCAGGATCCCCTTACTTGACCTCCTGGCAACACTCCTGATGCAGGCCAGGATCCCATTGGCCGCCTTGGCCACGAGGGCACACTGCTGCCTCATGGTCAACTTGGTGTCAACCAGGACTCCCAAATCCCTCTCCACAGAGCTGCTACCTGTAATCTGTACTGATGCCTGGGGTTATTCCTCCCCAGGTGCAGGACCCTGCACTTGTCCTTGCTGAACTTCATGAAGTTCCTCTCTGCCCAACTCTCCAGCCTGTCCAGGTCCCTCTGAATGGCAGCACAGCCCTCTCGTGTGTCAGTCATTCCAGCCAGTCTGGTATCACCCACAAACTTGCCGAGGGTGTACTCTGTCCCCTCATCCACTCATTGATGAACAAGTTGAACAGCACTGGGCAAAGTACTGACCCCTGCGTGACACCACTGGCCTCCAACTAGACTTGACCCTGTTTATCACCACCCTCTGAGCTCTGCCATCCAGCCACTTCTCAATATCTACCTACTGTTCCTTCATCTAACCCACACTTTGTGAGCTCTCCTGTGAGGATGTTACGGGAGAAGGTGTCGACAGCCTTGCTGAAGTCAAGGTGGGCAATATCTTTAGCTGATGTTGTAGATCAACATGGCCTCATGGCCTCATCAGGCCTGTCAACAGGCCTCATCCATTCATCCAGTTATGTCATTGTAGAAGACTTCTACAAATTGGCACTCACTGGAAGCTACTGTACGTGCAAGGGGTCAGCAGTGCTCTTTGCTGAATGGCCATTTTTGCAAAAAGCTTAAATCTGTTTCTGCAACCTGGGTTTTTTTACTAGGCTAATTGTCAGCTGCCTGTGCTTTATCCAGACTTAGGACTAAGCAATTGTATTAAATCAGCACGCTGACAGTGTGGTTCCATTGTTTTACTACTATGCTCATCAGTTGGACTGTATGCTGTGCTTATATGGTACTTAAACTGCAACTGCACCAAGGCAGTTGTCCCCTGGGACCCATCTATACTGTGCTTTCTAAGATGATCAGGAATACATAGTATTATACTGGCATCTTGCTGTTTCTTGTCTTGCAAGTAGATCTTGCTGTTTCACCAGCAATCGCACTAGTTGTACAGCGAAAGCTATGCATTTTTAGAGCTGAAAATAGAAATCACTTGTACTAGACCTAAAAATTCAAACTCTGTAGGTAAGAGCCATAAAAGACTGGCATAATTTTTGAAACGGATGTGAAGAGGAGCTGTTGCTCATAAAGTACAAGCAGAAGCATGAAACAACATGAAAACAAGCTTGCATCTTTGTAGACATTAAACAAGTCTGTGATAAAAGAACATACCCTGAAGAACAAGGCACTAACACAGAAGACAACAAAGGCAACTAAGCTTAGCTTTCAGTGCCTAGCTTTTAGGATTTGGCTTATGTAGTGAAGTCTTCATACCTGATTTAGATGCTTCAAGTCTCTCTTGACAGTGTGTGAGAGACATAAATTAGTCTCACAGAACAGGATCTTCAAGTGCCAACAAGTCGAGCAAGCAAGGCACAAGAGAGTGTTACTAAGGGCTCTCTCCCTTTGAAATATGCTTGCTTCATACCCTACACACTTCCCTGTAGCTGGTGCCTAAACTATTTTCATGTAGTTAATGCCTAAGTTATTTCCATGGTTGATGAGAGATCATACTTTTCTTTTAGAAATACCTGGAAATAGAAGAAGCTCTTTCATACAACAGATGCATTATAATGGACCGTTCAACCATGATAAGGAAAACTTAAGCTTCTGACCCTTTCACTGCTGGTGCATACATTCCTGTACCTCTCCTTAGCTCTCTAGCATAGGAAAAGTAAACACAGACTGAGTCAGGAGGAGTTAGTGCTACAAAGATAAGGAAAGTGAAGACAGAGATAGCAAGATAAAAGTAGTACTCTCTGTTCTGTGCAAAACCATGCGTGCAATGCTTCCTGACTGACCCTTCAAGGCAAGTAGACAAGCAATATATATATAAAGTTGGTGACAGTCTTGCATGGCAAAACTGAAGCTTCCTTAACTTTCAGATTCACTTTGAGTATTTAACCCTGGTTAGATTTACATATATAATTATGAAAATCTGGCCAGTTGTCTCCCTAGAGAACCACCCAATGGTTTTGTGCAGAGGTACAGAATCTGATGCTCTCGAAGGTTGCAAGGGGCCAGAGGAGTACAAGGCACGGAGGATGAGGAGATTGACAACTGCTTTTCTTGAAAACCATGTTTTTAACTTATATACATGAAATATAGCCTAATTTCTCTGTTGGTCTAGCCCAAGGTCACACAGGAAATTTTCTATAGGAAGACAACCAAAGTCTCAAGCACTAGTAGGAACGCTG